GCGACAGATTCAAGGTTAAAGAAGTATATAGATATTTATCGGCAACACCTAACATATCAATATAAATCATTTTATTTTTCTTGTATTTTTCTGGTACCTTCCTATAAAACCTCTCCTGTACTTGGCCCAAAAACATTACAAAAACATTGTAAAATAAATATGAAGTTAATAAAAAAGTGCACTTAAACTTTACCATACACGTTTTCTAAAATATGAAGTTTACAATTTACACATTACTAACTAGAAACCCCTCCTCCAAGATGTTTAGATAGGTATTCTTCTACTCTTCACGCTTATGCTTTGGACTTGTAAAGTAACTTTTGCTTCTGATTCATCTCCTTTTCTATGTACCTGTTAGCAATCCGGAAAAAAAAATTGCAATAAAATAGAATACAACAAACTTTATACTAACTCTGCCCATAGTTTAAAGGAAACATCATACATAGAAGATATAACAAAATGAATATGGAGATGCAAGATGAAAAATGCGAATAATAACTAAAATTACTCTAAAAAAATGTAAGCATTCATTGGGGATCAAACTATGACAGATACTGAGAAAACTTACCATAATTTTGGTGCACTTTCGTGAAGTTGTAAATGGCTTTAATTAATGAACCGTGTCTCATGAAGTTCAATGATCCCATATGCCTGCAAGAAACATTAGTCAGAAACTATTCGACTAAAAAAAGAAAATCGAAGCTATTTACAAAATGCAACGTAACACACTATATCACATTAGTCAATATCCTAGAAACAACTTACACTATCTCTGTATACCGAATTCTCCATGCAGGAAAACCAAGATGGCTCCTAACAGGTCCATAAACCAGTAAAAGGTCAGGTTCAGGGCCTTTGCAACCTGACAGAAAAATTAGACCGTCGTTAGCCAGATAATATTATACTTGATAATGTTGTACTGCAAAAGGAAATAAACATTTTAAAGTTTAAACTTAAACTAATGGCGGGTTTAGGAAGCAATCATACCAACAATTTGCAACGCCTGATTCAGGTGAGGCTCTAACAATATCTGGCAATCCAGTTCTCCACCTAAGTCATGTCGTTTTGAATTCTCAACAAAAATCAAGTTAGCTGCTTTGGCCACTGCTTCCTTCCCATCAACATAAGAAACAAATTCTAGGGTCATGTGATCTGGTACATGGTGTGTCACATCTTCATTCACTTCCTACACCGAGTTTAAGCTATAGATCAGATCAAATGAATGAGTTGCACTAACTACTCAAAAGAACCTTAATAATAATATCATAAACTAGGATAGAAATTTGTTAATATATTAAGACAGACGCAATTGTTAGTAACAAAAAAACAATAATGTTACCTCTATGGATTTTGCATTCTTCATTTCTTGAAATATGGCCTGCTTTGACTTTTTCAACACTCCTAGAATATAGAGATCAAAGAAAACATTATCATACACCCTAAGTTAAAGAAAGTTTACTATCACTGATTATTCGAACCTTTCATACCATTCATGTCATAGAGGCATACATTTTTAACACCAATTGAATCCAACCACTGCAAAAGTTTAACAACTTTTGAAATCTGATAAGCATCTTCACTCTCTATGACAATGGCAAGGTACCGAAGCTTTCCTATAGGAAGAGACTTGTATTTTTCCAATACTCCATAAGAGATGAAATAGCTTTCCAACAAATTACCCACGGCTAATATATAATACCACGCGCTGACAATAATTTGTAGAAAGTACCATAGTAATTGAGGCACAAGATTTGCAATCTGTACAAAAATATGTCTGGATATATAATTCAAGAAACACTAAACAAAATATATAAATAGTCAACAATTGTTGTACTTACTTCATTTCGTTAAACAACAGTATTACACATTGAGTTCACATCTAAAATTATACATAAGAAAAATCACATCTAAGCGTATTGGTTTTGCGGTGAAAATAATTAATTTTGAGTGGATTGATTATGTAAAATTGATTCTGATTAAAAGTGAATTGAATATAAAGCTATTTATGTTTGGATAACTTAATGCAAAATTGAGTTCAAAGTTAAATTTCAATGTAAAAATCACTTTAAACTCAAAAGCTACAAATTCAAGCTTCAAGCAAAATCAATTCTACTTTTGAAGATTCAAAGAGACTAAAATCATTCCAAAATCAATTCTACACTTTTAAAATTGCTTTTGCTTCTTCCAAAAGCTAAACCAACATACACTAAGTAGTATTATACATTGAGATTAGAAAAACGTTAAATTAGAGTAAAAATATACTGAAATAAATGTTGAGCGTGAGAATTAGTTGCATAACATCACAGAATCTCCAACTTATTGCAAATTAAAAAACTAAAATAAAACCTATAAAATCAATTATCCTACAAGTTGAAGACTTACTGTAACAATAATATGAAACAAGTTGTGAGCTACATCTATGAAATCCATTGTCCTACAAGTATGAAACATCAAATCCAAAAAAAAAAAAGATTATTAATAATTGTTGAGAGAGAAACTGGAAATTGGAAATAGAAGAAGATGAAAGCAGTGACCAATATCTGAAAATGGAATTGAAAAGCAAGAAATTTGTGGATTACCTTAGCCTCACATGAGAGTGAGACGCTCCGCTTCTATTTTATCACGTCACAAAATTTATATGGAACATATATTTCGAAAAAGTTTTTAAAAACCAAACCCAAATGCTTTCTTGAAACCGGTTTAGAACGGGTCGAAACCGGTAAACCGGTTTTCAGTTGTAAATTAGTTCTCACACCAATAATTGTAAAAATCGGACTGGACTGGTTGAACCGGAAATCAGGCTAGTAACCAGTCTGATTCAATAGTTAGATTGTCTTTGTCAGTAAACCGGTCAAAACCGGTGCAAATTAGGTTGGATAAAAAAAATTGGAAAATCGACGGTTATAATGTTTTTTTTTATTTTTTAATTAAAACTTAAATGCAAACAATGTCATTTTGAGTTATAAAAATTTTAAAAATAAATAAATTTTTTTTTATCATTGTTTTGAAATAATTTTTTCTCCTTAGAATAATTTTATATCATTGAAATAATTTTACTTCCTTCAAACTAAACTTAAGCAGACATTAGAGTTATTTTGTTATAAATTATTCAATTATATTATGTTGCAATTAGATTTTATTTGCGATTAGACTTTGTAATTTGTAATTTTATAATATTTTATTGTATTTGATACTTATGTTTAAAATTTGAATTTAAATTATGAACTTGAGAATTTATGATATGATACTTTCAAAAAAACCAAGTGAAAGTTATATTTTTTTAGAAACTGAATTATTCGGTTCAACCAGTTTTATATCTATATGATTTTGTTATGATGACAAGTCTATTCAATCGAGTTATTTGGTTTAATCCAGTTTAGTCATGCGGTTCGACTAGTGACCTAGTGGTTCAACCGATAAACCAGTGACTCAATACTCTCACCGATTCGATGACCGCTCCGATTTTGAAAACATTGTTCACACCTATTTTTAAAAATTTGATTGGTTTCAATGTCAAAACCGGGTCTAACTACATTTGAAATTGAAATTAGAGTTATTAATCTCAGATAGCAAAACATTTAAAATTAAAATTAAAATTATTAATCTCGAATAGCGAAGCGGTCGATCTCAAAAATGTAATAGTGGATAGCGGAATAAATTTTTATATCAATTATATGAATTAAAAATTCTATATATACAAATAAAAATTATCATAAATAAATAAAATAATCATTAAATTATAATATAAATAAATTAAAAAAAACAAATTTATTTTAAGTGGTGTACAACTAGCTGTATCAGATAATACAAATCTGTTAAAGTTTTATAAAAATCTAATTAATAAAATAATAAATATGTTATCATTATTCTTATTATTAATGTTATTATTTTAAGTTGTATGTGACCTGACAATACATATTGAATATTGTAAGTTGTATTACAATATCTAGGTATAAAACGTTGAGATTGATCGTAGAAGGTCCATAAAAAATGTACAAGCTCCTGCATGTGAAACCACCAACGCTTACGTCGACTGGGTCGAAATTAATTAAGGGTTGATAGGAATTTTTAATTTATTTATTTTAATGTACTTTTTTATTTTAAGAATAAATAAATATTTATTTTAGTTTATTTATTGTATTTTATTTTATAATTATTATTATATATTTTAATGTAGTAATTTATTTTAATTAAAAATATTTTTAAAATAATTATTTTTATTTTATTTTAGTTTAATTTACTATAATTATCTATTTAATAATTATTAACTAAATATAATAAACATAATAAATAAAAAACGTGGCAGGAAAGAAATTTTTTTTAAATATGGGTATGTGGGAAAAAATTCGCAAAGCGGACCATGGTACTATTGCATGGACGGTAATAATTTGTGCTTCTGTGGTCTAGTGCAAGGCCAAATGCTGTCACTTTCATTAGCATGTTAAATGCGTATAGTCATGTAGGTTTAGTTAAAGTGAAAAACGTTTTGGATACAATGAGTAACAAGTAACTTGTGGAACCAACTATTTGATCATTATAATTACAATTGCATGATTGATATTTACTCTCGTGCTGGACTATTACAAGAGGCACTTGAGTCGATAAGGAGTCTATCATTTCTTCCTAGTGTTTTAGTTATTTTTTTATTTATAAATATCATATTCTCTACTCGTATCTGCAAAATATATTCTCTAGTATTTTAATCAAAAAAGTTCATTAAAAATAATATTTAAACTATAAAAAAAAAACAAATTAATTTAGATTCTCAGTAAAAACAGAATATGTCGCATTTATTTTTAAAAGACAGTTACAAGAGAAACCTACTACATGGCAAGATGATAAATTCCCATAGAATGACCATGTAAATCTATTTTAAAAGTATATCAAAATTATTCAATAGAAGCCTGGTTTCTTATAAGTGAAAGCCAAGAAACAAAGTGGCTGAACAGTAGCCTGATCCCAATCATCAGAAAATAAACAGGTTACAGCTAGTTTGATAATTATATCGCTTCAATTTCAGAATCACTTTCTTTAGGGGCAGCAGCAGGCACTTTTTTGTTCTTGCCTCTCAGTCGTGAATATATATTATCAATGGCTGAGTTTAGTTGGCCTATTTTTTCATTCAAGGTCTCCTTGGTCCTCTGTTTTCAGGAACAGCATAACATAATCAAAACAAACGCAGCATTTTCCAATTACACAATAAATACTGATCACAAAACCAAGAGAGGTCCAATTACCTCTAGCCCTTCGTCATAATGTATTGATCTTAGCCCTTCTTCTTCATAATATATTGGTCTTCTGGCCCTCTGAAACCCATGTTCATTTTCATTTCGCACAGCTCTTCTGATCTGCATGGCAAGTTAAAGTTAACACCGTAACATAATACGCAAAGATCACGTTTTTTATATTTTCGGTCTAGTAGCCTAGTGGCTGATATTCACCCTTTAAAGACAAACAAGTGAGATGTCGCAGGTTCGAACCCACGGTCCTACACCCGATGTCCCTACGCAACTACTAACTGGACGAGCTTAACGGGATTGCAAAGATTACATTTTGCTGAGACAATAGTAGAATATAATTATATAACTATAATTTCTAGCCATTCAAAGGTTTTCTAAAAAAACACTTACAGTCCGTAAGACATAATGATAAGACAGGATCCAAATATGGAAAAGTGAGTGGTATAGTTTTACAGTTATTATTCTATTTGTAAATAAAATTAAACAGTCATGAATATATCTCTATAACCAATCACCAAGACATTGCAGATATAAGAGAAAGTTCTTCAACTCTCTTCCTATCCTTTGCAAAGTTTATTCAGCTCTCAAAGCATGAAACAAATGTTGCACTAGTACTAAAACTACAGTGATGAACAATTAGTTTACATCAATTTTTCAACAAGCAATAATAAAAATTGTTCAAATAATTACAATTGAACAGCAATGAGTAATATTGATTGACATAATAGCTATCCATATGAGTTGAAATAAGTTTACAAATCTCTTTTTTTTAAATCTCTCTCATCTAACTTTTCCATTAGCATCAACAAACTTATAAAGGCTTTTTATTTTTTAAAAATATGATAGGAATCAAACAACTATTACAATTGAGAAGCTTTATCAACTGAAAAGTAGAAACTACCAAAATGATATGTAGTTAATAAGAGTCTATTGTTGACCCAGCCTTGTTGCAACTGCATCTTCTTGATAATTTTTCCCCACAAAATTAGTCATATATGGTCTATAACATGGTTAATCTGTATTCCTTTTTCTTTCTTTTCACTCCTATAATCAAGCTTATTTATCATTCACAGTTTTCAGTTAAACTAACTAGACCCAATAAATAAAATTGAAGTGAGAAAAAATCACCTGGGGACCAAAAACATAAGCCAGGGTTCCAAAAATAGCACCACCCAGAATAAAGCCAGTAAGCAATTCCCCGCCTCCACCCCCTCTGTTATCACTGCACAAAGGAAAGAGTTAATGGAAATAACAATCTATATAATCTTCTAAAATATGCAACCAATAAGATCAAGATACATGCAGATTCAATGTTTCAACCACTCCAATCTAAGCATTCAAAAGACAATTAACACACAACAAACATAATAGAAATACTGAAACTAATCAACAACTAATCATTACAAAGAAAGAAGTTTCAACCGCTGATTCACTATCTGTTTTTAAAATCATAAAGTAAAAAATAGTGAAAGTAAAACATACAAGTGTGACAAACGGAGGAAAGAAACATTGAACATTGCAGTTCTTTCTTCACTTCTGACCTTTCATCAAAAAACTCAAACATAGCAACTCGTATAGCAGAGTATTCTATAGTTTGTCTAGAACTATATTCGGTAAAAAAAGAACTACCACTGATTTGTGCACTGTAAATAAAATAAATAGAGATTCCTAACAAGAGCGCCTTTGGGGCGTGCAAAGCTGGCTACCACACAGGCCTAAAATTTCAGGATTAAACCATAACTAAATAAGATCTCATAAAATATTTGTCAATGCTAAATCGTGGTTAAATAGGGCCTCAAACTGTTTTGTCATGGTTGAATCGCGACTAACCTACCCAGGGACTCCAAAAACTTAAGACGACTCTGAATTTCATAAATTATGGGCAACTTCAAATTATTTAGTTGGATTTGTTATTATAAGGCAAAGATGGAATACCGGTATTCTGCACGAAGTGGTGAGGTGAGGTTCTTTCTGCTTGCAATGTTTGATTTCCTTTGAACGGCAAGGTTAGGTCCAACCAGAGATGAATTACGCTTTGCTAAAAACAGCTCAGATGACTTGAGATGAGATCCACCAACTGCAAATCAAATCAACAATTCCAGAATTCCAATTGTTTACTCAAATTTACGAATCTAAACAATTCCTCGAATGTATCGAAAAATCTAAAGTCCAAAACTATAATTACACTACAATCCAAAGTATATAAGCAAGAAAAACGAAGAATTTGAAATTAACAAATCGTAAAAGAATGAATCCGAAAACCCTAAGATGAAGAGGTTTTAAATGAATCTGAAATGCAGTGTTGTTTGAAATTGTCGATAATTTGGTAGTAAAAGGGAAATAGAAAGATGGAATAGCAAACCTGAAATAGATAATGGCGCAAAAGAAGTCGCCATGGGAGAGTGAGTTTGTTTGAAGCGTGAGTGAATGAAGAGAGAAATGGAAAAAGAGAGAGAGACAGAGAGAGAGTAATTAGTATGGAGTTATCTAATCGGGTGAGTATTACTAGGAGAGACTGAATTAATATTAATGTGCAATATAATCTCTACCAAAAAAATTCTTAAAAATCTCCGCCAAAAGAAAAAGTGTGTGATATGCACAACGTGTGAAATAAAATTACATTTAGAATTGGAAAAAATAAGAGATAAATTAGTTGATAACATATAATTTATGTGTGAGTTTTCACTACTTTCCATTAACTAAAAATAATAGAAAATCAGATAAATTATGCAATAGTGAATTAGGATAGAAAGTGGTATTATGAGAAAAGTGGTGTGATAAGCTGAGAGAAATCAAGGTAGAAAAATAGAATTATTAATAATTGAAATTAAATTTTTTATTAAAAAAAATAAAGAGAAGAGGTTTGGTGGAGAAAGTGGTGTAAGGAGGTCAAGAGTAAAAATTTTAGGAGAGCACAAGTTAGAGAACTTCATAGTTAAAGTTAGAATTTTTGTTTGAAAATTAAGGTAGGGAAAATTATTCATTTATGAGTGTAATTGCATGAAAGGTAGAGAGATCTTCACCTTCTTTTTTGTTTTCTTATGTTTTTTCTCATTGTTGATCTTTATGTGTCGTGGGAAAAGTTTGTGTGAAACAAATTTGTTTGTTGTGATCGATGTGAAATTCATGCTCTAATTCATGCTAAAATTTTGCATAATTTGGATATAAAATTTTGGCTGTTGTTCATAATAATATGATTTGGTAGGTTGAATATATTGATGAATTTGTGATAGATTGATGGATTAGGTGAATAATTTATTAGTAATTGATATGATAAATCTGGTATAAATTATATATGTTGAATTGTGTGCGACTTGGAAGATCGAGGGTTAAAATCAGAGCTTTGAAAGAGCTCCAATGGAAAAGAACACAACTTTGTATTCTGCACAGTAGTGATGGACATCATCACCATGACGAGTCGACCGTCACCATGCTAAGAGAGCTGACGACCGTTAACATGATAACGGGTCAACTGTCATATTTTCCAGAGAGGACAACCTTACTAGGCATTGCCTGGGTGACGAGTTTGTAAGGATGGGGATGACGAATACGTCATAACCACCGATGGATTGACCATTTTAGGTCGTCGACTCGATTTTTCGAGCTTTCTCCAATTCCAGTCACTATTAATTGTTGTATTGTTGTGTTTGACGAGTTGGTGAATAAAACAGATATGCTTTAAAAGTTATGGGAGTGCTTTGTGAATGAATAAGCATGTTTTATTGAATACTTGCATGATTTGGTATTGGTGAGTTATAATTGCATATCATACTTGTTATATTGAGATGGTGGACTTATTGGCTATGGATGTGGTTCGAAGGGGAACTGGTAATGTTTATTACATATGTATGAGTTATTGCATTTCATGCATCATGGTGTACAAACTTCAATCCATTATTATAATGCTAGTTCAAAAGGGGGCTAGTGACGAGTCGCTGATTCAGAATGGGGATCAATAACGTGTCCTAATTTAGAACGGGGGGATTGGTGACATTCATGGTTCAGAAGGGGAATCATTCAGTGATGGGACTAATTCAGTAACACACCTCTAATGTCCAAATTGGTATCACATGCATAAAGAGAATAAGTTGATGCATTGCATACATACTTGCTTTGTGATTGAGTTATCATTATCATTATGCATTATTGTGAATGATATTCATGGATTGGTGATTGTTTGATTTTTCTCGGTTAAGACATGAGTAAAATGTTGTTGCTATGAATGATTCATACTTTGATGATTTATTATGAATGATGCTACCATTGCTATCTTTTGTACCATTAATATATTTTGAGCGCATTCTCACCCTAATTGTTTTGTTTGTGGTGTTTTATACTCCCCTAGAGTATAGATAATCAGGTAGAGTAATAGCTGCTTTCTGAGCTAGAGGATGGCGTTGAGACCTCTTCATTTATTTATTATTTGCCCTGGTCATTTAGTTTTCATTGAAGTTCTAATATGTAATGTTGGAACGGGTTGCTTTGTTACATGTTATTATATTTATTTAAGATGTTTGAATTATTTCTTTAAGTACTTACGTTAACACAAAATAAAGGTTTTCTTTGAATTTTATCGATGTTCCACTATTATTTATTATTATTATTATTATGTTGACGAAGATGTATGTTGTAAATCTGTAACACCGGTGTTGTGAAAAGTGATATGTTTTATTTTCTTAAATCAAGGGTGTCAGATTTAGGGTGTATCAGGATACTCTGACTCAAGTTGGTGTGGTGATGCTAAGGATAGAAAATTCACAGTTGGTTATGTGTTTATGCTAGGTGGTGCACCAGTTGCTTGGAGCTCAAGAAAATAACCAGTTGTAGCTCTGTCGTCATGTGAGGTTTAGTACATAACTGCCTCTCTTTGTGCATGTCAAGCGACATGGATGATAAATCTGATCGAAGAGATTGCAAGTAAAATTCATGGAGCAATGATCATGAAGATTGATAACATGTCTGCTATAAATTTGGCCAAGAACCCAATAACACATGAAAAAAGCAAACACATTGAGATGAGATTTCATTATCCTGAAAAGCAAGTATCAAGTGAGAAACTGAACTTGGAACACTATAAAATTAGGAATTAGATTGCATTTATCATGACAAAGGTTGTGGAGGTGGAATTGTTCAAGAGATTAAGAACTATGATGAATGTAGATAGCTTAGATACAATGAATTAGATGGTGTGTTGAATATGTAATCATATGTGTTAAACATGTTTGTAAGATGTAGGATTCTACATACTCGAAGTCAAACATAGTCGTTAGAGTAGTAGTCGAATATCGTTTATAATAGTTGAATCTACATGTATTCGACAAAAGGTTGAATACAACTTATAATAGACAAAGGTGCATGCATTTGACAGAGAGCCGAATACATTCATTCGTAGTCGAAGCAACATGTATTCGACATAGTTGAATAAGAACTTGTTGAAGTTAATTAGTTGGTTTGAGATTGTGTGATGTGCAATCAATCTCATTATAAATAGGGATGTACTCAACATTTGTAATATATACAACACACACATAGAGAAACTCAATATGATAGAAAGACCAATAAAACTTTCCTCCTTTCACTTTAATAGCCCTCTCCCTCAACTTCAAAATTTTCTTTCTTCTCAAATCATTGTGCGAAGGAATCGTCTTGCAACCAAGGTATGGTTGAATCACTCAAGTGAAAAGTGATGAACGAGAATCTTAGATCAATCAAAAAAGTGATTGAATATTTTTCTATCAAGATTAATTCTAACATATGGTATCAAGAGCACTGGTTGCGACCCTTGGAAAGCATAGAGCAATTGCTTCTCATCCAAACGTATATTTTCCAGCAAATCTTCTCATCATGAATGGTATGAATTATGTAATTGGTGTAAGCAGGTAAAGGTTGTCTTCTGCTATCAAAATATTTGGGATATTGTGAAGAATCGAGTAACACCAATTAGCGACAATGTCACGAGTGAGCAAAAGGTTGCACATAAAGATTTGAATAAAAAATATTATAAAACTCTCTATAATTAAGCAATGCGTTGATCTAGACAACTTTAAGAAATCTGATGATGTAAACTCATCGAAGGATGCATGGAACATCTTAAAAAAAATCTTTAGAGGTGCTAAGAAGGTGAAATAAGTAAAGTTAAAAATGTGTGAGTTGCTTCAAATAAAAATAGTTCATATAGTTATCCTTGCACAACAATAAGTTATATAGATTAATATAATAGCTCACCATATAAGTTGAAATAAGTTTACGAATCTATTTTTTTAAATCTCTCGTCTAACTTTTCCATTAGCATCTACAAACTTATAAAGGATTTTTATTCTTAAAAAATATAATAGGATTCAAACAACTTCAATTGAGAAGTTTTATCAATTTGTAAGTAGAAACTATCAAAATTATCTGTAGTTAATAACTAAGAGCTTGTTGTTGACTCAACCTTGTTGCAAATGCATTTTCTTGTTAATTTTTTCCCGCAAAATTAGTCATATACAGTCTATAACATGGTTAATTTGTATTCCTTTTTCTTTCCTTTCACTATTATAATCAAATTTATTTATCATTTGTGTTTTCAGATCAATTATCTAGTCACAACAACAATAACAACAACCAAATCTTATTCCACTAAATAAAATTGGCTATATTGTATCAAGATCAATTCTAATAGTGCTTGCGGTATGTAAATTTGGCTTGAAATCAGAGGTCTCGGTTAATACTTGTGGATTTTTATGTTAAGTGTGTTAGGTTTGAAGTCGCGTGTCAAGCCTTTGAAAGCATAAATTAACTAAATGATTATGTGTGGAGTGCAATAATCATTGGTTGTTGTCAAAGTGGTAGATTCGTTAGGGTTTTTGAAACTTTTAATAAAATAAGAAGTAAATAGGTGTTATTAAATTGATTCATCTATACCAACATTTTTCAATCATGCTCTGCTGTCTCAGATTTAATTTATGGTGCTCCAGTTCTTGCAAATGCAATAAATAAAAGGGTTAATTCAATGCCTTTATGGGAAGAGTGCTATGATCACTATGTACTCACGGACCCCTCACATCAAGTATTCTTGGCTATAGGTAAACCTAATATTATTGCATGGACTGCCATAATTTGTGCTTTTGCTTACTGCGACAAAACTTCTAAATCCCTGGGAATTTTCAACGAGATTTTGCAGTCCAGTGAAAGACCAAATGTTGTGACTTTCATTGGCTTGTTAAATGGTTGTAAGTCATGCATGTTTAGTTATGCGAAGATTATTTGGATACAGTGAGTAACAAGTATAGCGTGAAAGCAACTATTGATCATTATCACCCTTGCATGATTGATATTTACTCTCGTGCTAGATTATTACAAGAGGCACTCAAGACGATAAGGAATCTGCCATTTGAATCTAATGCAATGAGTTGGAAAAGTTTATTAGGAGGATGTTAGACTCATCGGAATCTCAACATTGGGATGATTATAGTTGAAAAATATTAAATATGTAATTCATTGTTTTATAAAGATTTGATTTGATTTAGAAATATCATATTTGATTTAGAAATATCATATTTGATATTTTTGGACTTTTCTAGTTTATGTTTTAGCTTGAGATGCAAGTTAACCTAAATCTATAAATAAGGAAAAACTCTTATCATTGTAATAATCAAGTTTGATAATCACGGTTTTGCAGTTGCAAAGTGATAATAAAATTCCACAGTTGTGGGCAGAGAGTTACTCTGCAGTTCATGCTCATCTTCATTAAATATGTTCTTGTTTTTATTCATTGTCATTACATAACAATCTTGAGATCAAGATTGAGAAGAATTCATCATATATCGTGGTTGAATTCCAACATATGCTATCTAGAGCTCCGATTTTGATTCAAGGGAAGAACAAGTGTGATGACGATGAATCACCCGAATGGTCACTTTCCAACAAATCTTCCAATTCTCAAGAAAGATGATTATGAGAATTGGTGCAAGCAGATTAATGTGGTTTTCTATTACCAAGATCTTTGGAATCTTGTAAAGGAGGGATTATCACCGCTTGCAGAAACTACGACAAATCAGGAGAAAGTAACATATAAAAAATTAAAGAAGAAAGATTATAAAGCTCTCTTTATAATCCATCAATGTGTTGATCCAGATAACTTTGAAAAGGTTAGTGATGTAAAATCAGAAAAAGAAGCTTGGAAGATTCTTGAAAAATCGTTTGGAGGCGCAGAGAAGGTGAAAGAGGTGAGGTTACAAACTCACAAAATGACTTATGAATTGCTTCAGATGGAAGACAATGAAAGTATAACAGATTTCTTCACCAGAGTTACAAAGCTGGTGAATCAAATCAGGGTATGTGGAGAAGTGTTGACATCAAGATCAGTTGTGTCAAAGATCTTAAGGTCACTGGCTCTAAAATTCGACTACGTGGTAATAGCCATAGAGGAGTCAAAATACTTGTTAGTATTGACGAAGAAAGAGTTTCAAGAAACACTTGAGTCTCATGAACAAAGGATGAATGAAAGAGCTACAGGAAAGTCGAAGAGTGATATGGTTTTGCAGGCGCAGTCAAAAAAAGAAAGGAAAGGAAAAGGAAGCTGGAATCGCAACAAAGGTAGAAGAGGCTACACCAATTCGAGAGGTTGAAATTAGCATGAAGAAAACTGATCGAATCAGAGAAAACCCAGGAACCAAGGCAACTAAAGAGGTGGTGTTGCAGGTAGAGAAAAAGGTGGTGGTTGAAAGCTTGACAAAGTCACATTTAGTGTTTCAATTGTTAGAAGTATGATCACTATTTTAGTGATTATCCAGAAAAGAATACAAATCAAGAAACTGATGTGAAGCTGGCGAAACATGAAGAAGAAGAGATGTTGCTGATGGTCACAACAATAGGCGAAAGGATTTCTACAGAAAGAAGGAGTAGATTTCGACAAAGTGTTTGCACCTGTTGCTAGGATTGAAACAATCAGGTTAGTTGTTGGTCTAGCAAATATGAACAATTGACACACATGCCAAATGGACGTGAAATGTGTATTTCTTAATGGCTCCATACACAAAGAAGTTTATGTCGCACAACCAGCTATATATGTGAAACGAGGTGAAGAAAGAAAGGTGTACAAGCTGCATAAAGCCCTGTATGGACTTAAGCAAGCTCCAAGAGTTTGGAATAAGAAAATCGACGGCTTCTTAAGTGAGAAGGAATTTGTGAAGTGTACTACTGAGCATGGAGTGCATGTAAGAAGAACCAGTAGTGAATTGCTTATACTATACCTCTATGTCGATGACCTGTTGATAACAAGAAGTTGCAAGAAAGAGATCTAAGATTTCAAACATGACCTAAATGAGGAGTTTGAAATGTCAGAGTTGGGAAATCTTTCATTTTTCCTTGGCATCGAATTCTACAAGAGTAGTAGAGGTTTGATGATGCACCAAAGAAGATACGCATGCAAAATACTTAAGAGATTTGAGATGTAAGATTGCAACCCAACTTCAACTCCAGCTGAGATCAGATTGCAACTATCGAAGCAGTCAGATGAAGATGTCGACCAAAGTCAATATAGAAGACTTATTAGGTCACTTCGATACCTTTGTCACACAAGGCCTGACTTAACATACAGTGTGAGTATGGTAAGTAGATTCATGCAGAAGTCAAATGTATCACACCTAGCATCGATAAAGAGGATACTGAGGTATGTGAAAGGAACTCTCAACTATGACATTTTGTTTCCTACAAATGATGAAGGAAAAGAATGCAAGATAGTGGGATACACTTATTCAAGTTGGTGTAGTGATGCTAAGGATCGAAAATCCACACTTGGATATGTGTTTATGTTAGGTGGTACTACAATTGCTTGGAGTTCGAGAAAGGAGTCAGTAGTGGCATTGTCATCATGCGAACCAGAATACATAGCTGCTTCTCTTTGTGCGTGTCAAGCAACATGGATGATGAACTTGGTCGAAGAGATTATAGCGAAGATTCATAGAGCAATAACCATGAAGATCAACAACATGTCAGCTATCAATCTGGCGAAGAATCCAATAACACATGGTCGAAGCAAGCACATCGAAATGAGATTCCATTATCTTCGAGAGCAGGTAGCAGAAGGGAAGATGAACTTGAAACACTGTAGAACTGAGAATCAAATTGTAGACATCATGATGAAGGGAGTGTCACTCGAAGTGTTTAAGGTAAAGTCTATGATGAATGTGGATAGTTTAAACACTATGAATTAAGTAGTGTGTTAAATATGTAATTCATTGTTTTAAAAAGATTAGATTTGATACAAAAAGATTAGATTAGATATTTTTGAGCTTTTATAGTTTGTTCTTTAACTTGAGATGCAAGTTAACATAAATTTATAGATATGAATGAACTCTTATCATTGTAATAATCAAGTTTGATAATTACGGTTTTGAAGTTGGAAAGTGATAATAAAATTCCAAGAGTTATCCTACAGTTCATATTCGTCTTCTTTGAACGTGTTCTTATTTTTGTTCATTGTCATTACATAACAATTTTTAGATCAAAATTGAGAAGAATTCACCCTAGATCGTAGTTGAATTCCAACTAAAAAAAAAATCATTCAATTGGATCTACAAGACTGTTCTACTTGTGCAATGATGTTCAATTTATGTGCTTTGGCTAGGAAGCGAATGAAGTTGCCCTATATAGAAAGATGATGGCTGAAAGGAAGTTCAGGAAGGAGCTAAGTTGCAGCTGGATTTATTGTGAAGGGTACAGTCCACCGTTAGGTGGTTGGTGATAGATACCACCCTCAAACAGAACATAAATACTCAAAACTGAAAAAGCTTAAACTCTTTAACTAGTCAATAAAATTTAAAAATATATCAAGAATTCAATAGAAGCCTGGTTTCCTGCAAGTGAAATCCAAAACAAAAAGGGGCTGAACAGTAGCCTGAGCCCAGTCATAAGAAAATAAACAGGTTACAGCTAGTTTGATAATTATATCGCTTCAACTTCAGGATCACTTTCTTTAGCCACTTTCTTGTTGTTGCTATTCAGACGGGGAGATATACTATCAATGGCTGCGAGTAGTTGGCCTATTTTGTCATTCGAGGTCTCACTGGTCCTCTGCTTTCAAGAACATAACATCATCAAAACAAACCCAGAATTTTCCAATTACACAAAAATTCTGAATACAAAACCAAGAAGGTCCAATTACCTCTATCTCTTCTTCATAATATATTGGTTTTGTGGCCCTCCGAAACCCATGTTCATTTTCATCTAGCACAGTTCTTCTGATCTGCATGGCAAGTTAAAGTTAACACCATAACATAATATGCACCTTCAAAATGGTAACACAATGATGTCTCTTGCGGGTAAATAGTAACACTGAGGCAAAAGTAGGCTATAATTATATAACTAATTTCAAGCCATTCAAAGGTTTGCTAAAACAACACTTACAGTCCGTAAGATATAATGATAAGAGATAATAATATGTAAAAGCGAGTAGTATAATTCTACAGTTATTAATAAAAATAAACAGTCATGAATATATGTCTATAACAAATCACCAAGACATTGCAAATAAAAGAGAAAGTTCTTCAACTCTCTTCCTATCCTTTGCAAAGTTAATTCAGCTTTCAAAGCATGAAACAAATGTTGCACTAGTAATAAAACTACAGTGATGAACAGTTAGTTTACATCAATTTTTCAACAAACAACATTAAAAATTGTTCAAATAATTATAATTGAACAACAATGAGTAATATCGATTAATATAATAGCTTTCCATATGAGTTTTAATAAGTTTACAAATCTCTTTTATTTAAAACTCTCTCTTCTAACTTTTCCATTAGCATCTACAAACTTATAAAGGTTTTTTATTTTTAAAAAATATGATAGGAATTAAACAACTATTTCAATTGAGAAGCTTTATCAACTGAAAAGTAGAAACTACCAAAATGATCTGTAGTTAATAAATAAGAGTCTGTTGTTGACCCAGCCTTGTTGCAACTGCATCTTCTTGATAACTTTTCCCCACAAAATTAGTCATATATGGTCTATAACATGGTTAGTCTATATTCCTTTTTCTTTCTTTTCACTCCCATAATCAAGCTTATTTATCATTCACAATTTTCAGTTAAACTATCTAGACCCAATAAATAAAATTGAAGTAAGAAAAAATCACCTGGGGAGCAAAAACATAAGCCAGGGTTCCAAAAATAGCACCCCCCAGAAGAAAGCCAGTAAGCAACTCCCCACCTCCACCTCCTCTGTTATCACTGCACAAAGAAAACAGTTAATGGAAATAACAATCTATATAATCTTCTAAAATATGCAATCGATGAGATCAAGATACATGCAGATTCAATGTTTCAGCCAGTGCTCCAATCTAAAAGCATTCAAAAGACAATTAACACACATCAAACATAAAAATAATCAACAACTAATCATTACAAAGGTAGAAGTTTCAACCGCTGATTCGCTATCTGTTTTAAAAACCATAATTAAGTATATATATTGAGAGAAAGTGGACCCTTAAAGTAAAAAATGGTGAAATTAAAACATACAAGTGTGAGAGACAGAGGAAAGAAACATTGAACATCACAGTTCTTTTTTCACTTCTGACCTTTCATCAAAAAACTCAAACATAGCAACTCGTATAGCAGAGTATTCTATAATTTGTCTAGAGTTATATTCGGTAAAAAGAACTACCACTGATTTGTGCACTGTGAATAAAATAAATAGAGATTCCTAACAAAGGCGTGCAAAGCCGGCTATTGCACGCCTAAAATTTCTCTATTAAACCATAACAAAATAAGGTTTCATAAAATATTTGTCAATGCTAAATCATGGTTAAATAGGACCTCTAATTGTTTTGTCATAGACTAACCTGTAGAGGATCTCCAAAAACTTAAGACCACTCTGAACTTCCTAAATTATGGGGAACTTCAAATTATTTAGGTGGATTTGTAATTATAAGGCAAAGATGGAATACCGGTATTCTGCACGAAGTGGTGAAGTGAGGTTCTTTCTGCTCGTAAAGTTTGATTTCCTTTGAACAGCAAGCTTAGGTCCAACCAGAGATGACTTGAGATGAGATCCACCAACTGCAAATAATAGTAATAACCATAATCACAATTCCAAAATTTCAATTGTTTACGCATCCAAAAACAAAAAAGGAAATGAAAAATTTATGAATCTAAATAATTCCTCGAAGGTATCGAAAAATCTATAGTCCAAAGCTATAATTACACTCCAATCCAAAGTAACGGTGAATTGATTGATTTTATATAAGCAAAAGAAACGAAGAAGTTGAAATTAACAAAATGTAAAAGAATTAATCCAAAAACCCTAAGATGAAGAAGTTTAAAATGAATCTGAAACGCAGTGTTGTTTGAAATTGTTGATTATTTGGAAGTAAAAGGGAAATAGATAGATGGAATAGCAAACCTGAAATGGATAATGGCGCGAAAGAAGTCGCCATGGGAGAGTGAGTTTGTTTGAATCGCGAATGAAGAAAGAAATGGGAGAGAGAGAGAGAGGCGTGAATGAAGAAAGAAATGGGAGAGAGAAAGGCGTTAATGAAGAAAGAAATGAGAGAGAGAGAGAGAGAGAGAGAGAGGCGTTAATGAAGAAAGAAATGAGAGAGAGAGAGAGAGAGAGAGAGAGAGAGAGGCGTTAATGAAGAAAGAAATGAGAGAGAGAGAGAGAGAGAGGTCTGCTGTAATTTGTATGGAGTTATCTGATCGGGTGAGTATTACTAGGAGAGACTCAATGTATATTAATATAATCTCTACCAAAAGTAATCGTTACAAGGATGGCAAACAAATCCGGACCCGTCCACACCCGCCCGAGCCCGTTCTAAAATTAACGGGGGAAATCCGATTTAATTGGATGCGGGTGCGGGTGCGAGTGAAACCCGGTTCTTAACTACGGGTGCGGGTGCGGGTGCGGGTAGACACTAAGACCCGTCCGCACCCGCCCCTGCCACGCCCCAAATAATATATTTTATTTTGATTTCCTTATTTTATTTATTTTAATATTTATTTATTAATTATACTTTTAATTAAGTTATTAATATTCTTATTGCAATTAAAATAATAAAATTAATCAAGTTAATATTCATTTATTAATTAAAATTTTAATTAAATAATTAATTAATTTATTAAAATAATCAATTTTTTAATTAAATTATTAATTTTTATTATAATTAAAATAATAATAATTTATTGCGGGTGGGGGCGGGGCGGGTGCGGGTGCACCCGTTTTCTACTGGGGGCGGGTCTGGGTGATAAATTTTCACCCCCGATTGAATTTGGGGGCGGGGGCGGGTCTGTTACATGGAGGCGGGTGCGGGTGCGGGTATAGTTAAACCCGCCCCCGACCCGCCCCGTTGCCATTCCTAATCGTTACTCTCTCCTCTTTAGCTCTTTAGGTCCTGTAACATTTAGTGACTCACTTGATAATTTTAACATAAATTAAGAAAAAGAATAAATAAAAAAGATAATAATATTTTTATTAAAGTATTAAGTATTAAAAATTATTAAAGTAATTAATTTTTATTTAATTTTGTTATTCTAATTAAATTACTCAATATCTAAAGAGTCTAATATTTTGAGGGGAGACCATTTCCAGTCGCTTAATCACAAATCATCATTTTATTGTTGGGGAAAGATTTTCACTGGGGAATATTGAACATTGTGGGGAAGAGACACACCACATACTCACCCAAAATCTTAAGGTGATAGATGTATGGGTTCTCTCACTTATAAATGCTCAAGTCACCACATTTCTATCCAATGTGGGACTATTATTCACACTACTCACACTTGTTAATACTTAACATTTATTTCACTTCATATTGCAGAAAGACCGAGAGATAATAGTCAAGAGTATTGTTTTATATTTGTGTCTTTAAATTTTTTTAACCCTCGTTCATGATAGAAAAATAGAAGTAAAGACTCCAAGAGTTGACTACTTCACATCTGATTTTCTATTCACATTTCATCCGCATCATATCCCTTGCATCAGAGGAAATTTTTTGGGTATGTCCAATATTTAAACTATCTTTCACCATGACGATTCGAAGACAATAGTTCTTCATATCTTTTGCTCATAGATTTTTAAATAGGGGTGACTGTCATACAACAAATTTGCCCCATGCGATTCATATATCGAAACATTTGTATCATAGTTCAGTCACTCTTTCACCAGTTCAATAAAAGTAGAAATTCAGTCGACTTTCAATTCATTTTCAATTCAAAAACTAAGTTAGTTGAATTTCATACATTTTCATCGTCTCATGCATCTTTTTAAGTCGCCCAAGGTCATCAAAATAATATTTCGGTTCTACATGCAAACCGATAAAAGCGATTCCACAACGTGTGAAAAATTAATGGACAAAATACTTCGAGCTTTGACCTGTATCAGATTATTTTATGAAAATGTGTTGCACGTAGGTCATGTTGGTATGCTCATTTTATTTTTCTGAAATCGTTTACTGTCGGATATTTTATCAGTCAGAGCCTGTTTATCCAAGTATTTTTCACTTAAAAATTTGATCAAAACTTGTATGTTTTCTAGAGGTTTATTTCACACCGATCATTTTGGTGCATTCATGTTATTTTTCCGGACACTTTCATGCCTGATTTTTATTCATTTTTTATCCTTTTATTTTTGTTTTTTTAGTAAAAGTAATTAGTAGAATTAATTAGAATTAATTTTATTTTCATTTCAATTTCATTTTGATTATTTTAAAGAGTTTGATTTTATTTGATTTAGTTAGTCATAATTCTTTTTATCACTAAAGAATGTTCAAAATGTTAGTTTTAGAAATTGATCCATTCAAAAAAACCAAACTATTATGTAATGGTGTGTTGAAAGTTGAAAATGAATAGACCAATAACAATGCTCTCATTCTCTCAATGTGGGCCAACTCAGAAATGGATCACCTCATGCGCTTTATGTCCATCCTTTTCTCCCGTACTTATCCAATGATTAAGAGCTCATAAAAAAGAACTCACTAAAATGTGCAGTTTTTGGAAAGAGAAATAAAATGCGGATGAACGATTGTGATGAGAGCAACAGAAACAACAGGAGAGAACCTCAAGAAAGGATTCTGATTCGGGAAGACTCATTAAAAAGAGAGGTTGGTTGACCTCTTCTTTTTCGTTTTGCAAGTGGCATCCAAAACAACCCCAACCAATTGTAATGTCTCTCATAATGTCCAAAAGGGAAAACTTTTCCATTAACATATTGTCATACCCCAAAATTTACCCTTAGATTATTAGGGTCATTTCGCATTTCATTTCATTCTACATTGCGTTTTAACTAACTGCTAAACGGTTTGTTCAGTCTGTTGCTGTTGCAGGAAAATAACGCTGGGTGCGCTTTAATTTATGAAGGGAAGAAGGGTCGTTATCATAAACTATATGGAGTTGAGGGCGCTGAAATGTAGTTGAATTTGGGTTGAATCGGTGCGAGAATCGGCTGCAAGAAATTTATTCTGGCCAGAGCACAATTTCCCGGTTTTTTTGCTAGTTACTAGTCCATTTTAAAGGAACAGTGAAATTTCGGTTCGCGTTGAATTTATAATAAATATCAAGTGGTTTGATCATGATTATCAGTCGAGTTGATTCAGGTTACAGAGTTAGATTCTTCGAGATACAGTTTGATTTTTAAATGCAGAGGGAAGTTTCATTTGCCGTTTAATTGGATTTCTCTGCTTATCCGTTCAAGGCCATATTCACCGATTTCATTATCCGGTACGATCTAATTTGCAAAGGAAGTTGTTTGAACCCAGGAGTTACGTCGGATGAAATTTAATTCTAGGTTGCGCGAGATGTTTAACTGTCGAATTCGGAGGTTGGAACGTCCAGGTTCATTTAGGTGAATCTAATCAGATGATTTTATCTGGATGAATTTAGTTGGATGATTTTAATCAGATGAATTTTATGCAGATGATTTTGGTCGGTGGAATTTAATCAAATGAATTTAGTCGGTTGTTTTCAATCGGATGAATTTGTTCGGAGAAATTTGATCAGGAATTAAATTCAGTTTATTAAGAAAAATGAAATTTATTTATTTAAATTCTATATTTTTTATTACAATATACAAAGATGATTACAATTACAAATCTGTTTCTAATTATTTTCCTAAAATCCTAATTGTCTTCGTGCCGATCCTTCAACTTTCGACTTTTCTTACCTGCAAAAAAACTGACAATAGAGAAAAACAGTGGTTAAATTGTTAGAATTAATCAGAAATGGTTTCATCATCGGGTACGTCGGGAGGGGCAACAAATAAATGCCGCCGCATCCCCCGACTTGTTATTTTCCGACCCCGACACGACCCGACAATTTCTGTTCCAATTTATTCCGAGAGAGAGAGAGTGATTTTTGAAAAAAGTGCTTTTGGAGAAAAGCGCTTATTCTGAAAATTGATTTTTTACGTCCATGCCAAACAAGACTTAAAGAAAAATCCATAACCAAAAAATCCATGGATATCTGATAACACGAAATCATATAGATATTTTCATGCATAATTCGACTAAAAGCTAACCGTTTTCAATCCGATTTCGGGTTATTTCCATGTATTTGTCTGATGTTTTTGCAGGTATTCAATGATCACGTCTAAACAAGGCAACATGAAGAAAAGAAGCAATCCCAGATGAAATATGGACAAAAAAGGAGTGAAAACACAATGAAAAGCGCAGCAGACAGTTTTTGCTGATGTGACGACCGTCACAGATGCATGACGACCGTCACACGGGTGACGACCGTCACACCTTGTGACGACCGTCATGCAGGCAAAAACGCCCCACTCAGATTACACGTCAAAAGAGCAGTTCCAATTCCCATTAAATGGTCCACTACTCCCTAAATTATCTGCCTCAAGGTCCATCATCCTCAGAGGTAACCGTTGGAATTCCACTTCTATAAAAGGGGAAGCAGGGGACTTCAAAAAGGGAGCTGCATTCATACCACGAAGTGCTACCAAATTTACTTTCCAGCAAATTTACTTTCAGTTATTATTTGTATCCATTTCTCCAGTTTCATTTGTATCCCTTTCCTTTATTTCCCTTTCCATTCTACTCATTCCCATTTCCGCTCTTCTGTAATACTTACTGCACTGTACGATCAAATTGGAACTAAAGACAGAATCCTGCCAACATCTGTGGAGGATCTGCCCAAAGGCCAATTGGCATTATTTACAGGTTTTCATTTTGATCGACTTCTATTTTATCATAATGCAATTTATCATTTATTATTATTATTTATGTTTTGCTTTTCCAAATTCCATGTCTAGCTAAACTTAGGTAATCGATATGTAGTAATAATTCGAATGGGATTTGATAACTCTTGTTTGAAAACTTTCTTTTTACAAAAATAACTTATGGTCTAAGTGTTTAAAATTGATTTACGAAATAAACTTCGTCGCGAAAGCGAGAACTTGTTTTAAAGTAGTTTTGCCACGAAAGTGGGA